CACTCTTATCTCTCTTCCACTTAAAGGATGCCGGGAATCATTTATAATATAAAGAAGCAGATATTTCTGGGTAGACAGACAAAACACTTAGATCAGTGATATCAAAAAGTGAAGCAGGGATGATGCTACCATTGGAAGGTGGGCAGCATCTGGTGTTGTTTGGAGTTGTAACAGTAAAAGGTAAGCTATAGACACTTAGTCAGACAGGCTAAGCTATGCCCAGGCAAAATGTGTATATTGTAGACTCCTTGACAGTTTCTTGGTCTCAATTATCCTGTAATTGCACATAAGAAACCTGACCTTAGGTTCAGTGGATGATAGATATCTAAAGCTTAAAATGGGTCCTCTTATTGCATACTGTGGACTATGAAGAAAAAAAAATATCAGAAAGGTGTAAATGAAATAAACACAAAAGAAACCATGATTTTGGCATCCATGTTTGTGGTGCTATGGTGATCACATTAGCTCTGCCTTTGCCACTTGAGAAGATTATGAAGAAATGTCCCAAATACAGAAAAATATCTCAAGTGACTTTGAATAACTTAGTTCTTAAAGTATTTTTTTGTCAGTGAAATAATGGTAGATAACTCATCACATCATTGTTATAAGTAACTAAGAATGAATGTCAGAAGAGAAAAATAAGATGGATAGACAGACAAATAATAGAAGACAGATGATGAAACAGTAGATGATAAAGGGTGTGGTGATATATTATGAACCCTAATAAAATATGCCTGAAGATCAGAGGACAGAACAAGCCACTCGATTAAACATACATGCCAGGCAGTGGTGGCACACACCTTTAATCCTAGCACTCAGGAGGCAGAGATCTGTTTGGATCTCTCTGAGTTCAAAGCTACCACATGAGATTGTCTTTGTCTAGGAGAGAAACAGCCAGGCAGTGGTGGCACACACCTTTGATCCCAGCACTTGAAATATCTTGCCTTTGCTTGGGAAGCACACATGCCTTTAATCCCAGCACTAGAGAGGTCTAGACAGGAAGTGATGGCTGGGTGGAAAAAGGTATATAAAGTGAGAGGAGACAGGAACCAGAGGTTTTTTTCAGGCTGAGGAGTCCTAGCAGTAAGACATGGCAGTGGTTTGTTCCTTTGTCTCTGTGATCTTCAGGTGAATTCTATTAGGGTACAAATATATCACCACAAAAAGGAAAAGAGAGAGACAGAGAGAAGACAGAATGACAGAATGTGCTGGATTGACTACAGTAATAAAATGCTGACTCCTCTGTATAGGTAGAGGGTACTGAGAGAGATGGCTGGTATTTGAGGGCATTTGGGGGGTGATGTGAAAACCTATCACAGTGGAAACAAAACCAGGAAGCACCTCCAATGGTGGGACTGGGACACCAACTCAGCTATTAAACCTTTGACCTACAATTGTCCTGCATGCAAGATGTGCTAAGATAATGGTGGTGCAGAGCTTGTGGGAGTGGCCAACCAATGACTGGTCTACTTAAGGCTGATGTCTGACACTGCCTGGATCGTCAGGAACTGGAGGCTGGATAGGCCAGAGATCTAATAAAGAACCAAACACGACTGGCAAAGAAAAAACAGTCAATGTAACGATGCCTAGTGATTTCTGCTATACTCATAGATTGGTGCTTAGCCCAATAATCATCAGAAAGACTTCATGCAGCAACTGATGGAAGCAGATGCAGAGATCCACAGCCAAACATTAGGCAGAGCCCAGGGAACCCTGCTGAAGAGGTGGAGGGAAGGATTGTAGGAGCCAGAAGGGTCTAGGACATGAGGAGAACATGGCCCACACAATCAACTAAGCAGGTCTCATAGGGACTCACAGAGACTGAAGTAACAACTATACAGCCTACATGGGTTTTTAGTAGGTTCTCTGCATACATGCAGTGTTTGTATAACTGAGTGTTCTTGTGGGACTCCTAACAGTGGGGGTAGGGGAGGTGTCTCTGACTCTCCTGCCTGCTCTTGGGACCCTTTTCCTCCTTACTGGGTTGCCTCATCCAGCCTTGGTGTGAGGATTTGTGCCTAGTTTTACTGTAACCTGTTATGCTGTGTTTGGTTGATATTTCTGGGAGGCCTGCTCTTTTCTGAAGGGAAACAGGAGGACCAGTGGATCTAGGAGAGAGAGGAGGTGGGCAGAGGGTGGGGTGGTGGTCTGGCGGGAGTGGAGAGAGGGGAAACTGGCAGGAGTGGAGGGAGGTGGTGGTTGGTATGTAATATATGAGAGAATAATAATAAATAAATAAAACTGGTAGATATAATGAGAGAATTAAAAATAAAACAAAAAAAACTACAAAGCAAAAAAAATAAGCAAAAATAAAAAACAAAAACAAACAAAAAACCCAAGTCACCAAAAGGTCTTGGGAAGGACATGAAATATGAAGTATGAAGTATGTTGACACAAGATTAAACCCTGCTGAGAAGGTGTGAATACATCAGTCTTACTCCACAGCCTCCTATAATACAGTCTGGTTCAAGGATAGGTTGGCACAGGACAATGGGTTCAAGCTCTGAGGGTGACTATTGCTGTCTGTGAGGTCCTTTGAGTGACTCTGGAATCTGCAGTGTGCAAGACAGGGATGTAGAGGGATGCACAAGAGTAAGAACTGCATTTCAATGGGTCAGCATCAGGACCAGGATGGTGGCTGCAAGAATCTCCAGTGAAAAGCTAGGGTTAAGGCATTGGTTCAGAGCACCAACTCCAACGTAGCTTCATTTCCCAGAAGTTGGAAATGTTTCAGGTGTCCATTCATTAGCCCTGATACTGTTCTTTGGGGTTTTGGAGATTAATGTTTGCAATGTATGAAAAAAGAAGTTGAGGTTTCTTTACTTGAGTACAGAAGGCTGGAATGCTGTATTGAGAGTGAGTGTAATCACATGTATACTGGGGAAATATGCATAAATACAGTTGGTTGATGATTCCTAAGCATTTGGCTTCAGATGGGGACCTTGTCAGCTGAGGAATGAGAGGAAGGTATCCAGCAGAAAGAAGACTTTGCGGTGTAGGATTTCCAGTGTTCATGGGGGTGAATCTTTGAGAAGATGGCAGGTATGTTCTCTGTCCCTTGAAGCAGACGTTGTCTTTCTATCACTGAGAGAATACTGGCCTCATATGGGAACGACATCTGCTTCTCCCTCCTACTTCTTTCTCCCTTGGGAGCTGACCCCGTACTGAACTATGCAGCCTAGTAAAAAAGTTGAAGAAAAATAAGGAAATTGCATCACTACTTAACTCTTCTCAGCATAAGTGTACTCAAGGTGGGGAGAATGTTTTCTTTCTGTATGAGTTTGAGTTTTGGTTATGGTATTAAGTGGATATTTAAATTAGTGAAATAGTGTTTTTATGATAGAATCCTGTTAATCTATGAATGTTCATGATTTCTAATGGGGACAGGGAAGGAACTAGAAGTTTCCATAAAGAAGCACAGTAAGGAATATAACTTCATTGTTACATAACTATATCACTATAACACCTTTAATTCTTTTATGGTATTAACAAAACCCTTGACAAAATGAAGAAAATATTAATTGTTAGTATTGTCGTTGCTTTTTGCTCACATCTCATATCTCCTTGTACTGAGCATACTTAGGTACTCATTGGCCTTTAAATTAATTGAATTGCCCAAATAATTTGGTTGAGACAATAGAAACTGAAAAGTCTGAATTAACTGTGAAAGTGATTACTGAAAAATATAAACTCATCTGACGCCTTGCTTCTAACTATTGTTTCCAGATACAAAGGAAAATGACAGATTCCAGAATAATCTTTTCCTGACTTACTCAGGATTAATCACAGAATGAATAGATTCTCTTTCAAAGGGGTACCTCAGATTTCCGACTTGCCTGCTTAAGCATCTGGGTGCTGGGTTTCTGAGAGTGTACTTCCTGGAATCCTCTTGAGCACCAAACACATATAATTATGAGAGATATGACACAGAGGAGAGCACCTACTGGCTGTCTTCATGAAGCAGCATGAAGGAAACAGAAAGTGGTAGATTCCAATGCTGGAGTTCAAAATGAAGTCACGCTCTGCAGATAATAGCAAAGCTAATCCTTTTACTGTGGTTATACATCAGCAAAATTCCCTGTGAGGCCAATTTTAGGTCACCCAATGTGGTGACTTTAGTGAGAATGGTGCCACAGAGTCCATGCTTGGTCCCCAGTTGGGGACCTGCTTGGGAAGGATTAGAAGATGTGGCCCTATTGGAAGAGGTGTGGTGGTATGCTTTCAGGTTTCCAAAACCTGTGTAGTCCCCCCTGGTCTCTGTCTGTGTCTCTCTGTCTCTCTGTGTCTCAGTCTCTGGCTCTGTGCCTTACATTTGTGGATCAGAAGTAAGCTCTCAGCTACCACTTCACGGTCATGCCTGCCTGCCTGATGCCACACTTCCTGCCATGATAACGATCATGGACTGGAACCCTCTGAAACTGTAAGCAAGTCCCCAGTAAACTCTACCTTCTATAGGTTTCCTTCTTCACGGCAATAGAAAAATAACTAAGACATCCAAACATCAGCACATTCAAGGTTATGGATAACATGAGCAATGGCGGTCTGAGAAATCCTACTAGCTTCCCCAGGCTGGGAAGTTCCTGCTTGAACTGTGAGCAATCCTATCAGCTTCAAATGCGAGTGAAGTTCCTGCTTGAACTGTGAGCAATCCTATCAGCTTCAAATGCGAGTGAAGTTTCTGCTTGAGCTGTGTGTAAGCAGGAGTGCCAGTTTTGCTTTCTTTGGCAGTAACTTTCACTCATGTGAGAAAAGTAAACAGTGAGTTATGAAAGACAAATACTGAATTCCAGAGGAGTGATGTGTATGTAGGAGAGCACTAAAATGCCTAAATGGTTTTTATGGCCTCGTAAAGACAAAATCTTGGCAATGGCTTCTTATTAACTTGTAACAAAATTATGCAAGAAAGTACCAGCATAGTAGGAAGCATGAATGTGCACAATTTATAGAACAATGGGGTAAAAACAATGCCTGATTGTTCAGATAGCAGGATAAAAACAATAATACCTGATTTCCTAGCCCGGTATTTTCTACAAATTACCTCGTTTCCATCTCAGTCTCTATTTATTTTCTCAACTGGTGAAACACACTCTATACCTAAAGAGTGCTGGAGATCCACATTTTCTTTATCTGCTCAGGAAAAAACAAAACAAAACAAAATTTCACCCAACACTCTTCCTGTCTAGTCTTTCTCTTCAGAATACGGTTCCAAGGTCATTCTTCCTCTCCAAATACTCTGATATGTCTTTGTGCAACTCTTGTTATTCTTTAATTGCAAAGAAAAATTTTCCAAATGTAGTTGCTTTTAAAATCAGCATAAATTCAAATGAAGTTGAAATAATATTTTGTATTTCAGCCAAGTTTCCTTCTTCATCTCATCATTACCTTATCTTTTCACAGTATAAGATGATGATTTATAAGAAAATAAGCCAAGTTTTTAAAATAATTAAAAATTGTTATTTTAGTAAAACTGTTTTATGGAAATAGAGGGAGATATGAATGAAGTTTCTAAACTTTCCTACATTCATCTTGAGTTGAAATAAAGCTTGAAATGCTACAAACTAATTTTAAGAGGCAAGATTCTAGATCAAACAGGAAGATCTAAGCTAGAAGCTGAAAGCTGAGCATATAGTTTATATGATGAACAATAGGTCAGGAAAATTGCTGAGATTATATCATTTACTGTATTCTTTAAAAATTGGCTTTGGCCACTTTAACATAGATCATTTGGTATAATAAATTAATAATCTAATATTAATTCTGTTTAATTAGGGATTAAGTTTACATAAATCATTAGTTTTATAGTCATTAAATTGCACTACTGAATTATGTGAGAGAACACTCAGCAATCATCTGAAATGTCATAAGCTTTATTATGACCAGTAACATTTTCTTTCTTTGTATGACAGCCTTTTCTAAAACTCTCATTTTTCACAACATTCTCTGTATTCTATCTTTTGTTAATTGGAAAGATAAGATACTCTAGGAATTTTAAGTAGCTTTATTTCAAGTACTCATAATTTATAACTTTCTAAATTTCAGGATTATAGCAACTAAGTATTCTATTATAAGCTGGCATGTGATGTTCTTGAAAATTCAAAAGCTTACAAATCGAATTAGTATTGTATAGTATGTTTTAAACTTGTTAACCACATGGTACACATTTTTCTGTAGAAAAGGTTTGCTGGTGATGAACTCAAAATAATGTAACCATCTCTAACTAGGCAGTGTATTCCATGCATGGATGCTCCTTTTCTAATGAAATTCAATTTTAAGAATTTTAGTGGATGGAAATGAAATTATTTAGTTAATCAATACTAATGGAAAAATTGGCAGCCCAACTGAAAATATTCAAAGAGACTATTTATAAATTAAAGTGTATTCAACAATCCCCCAAACTAGTATTTTAAATATGGACTGTATTTATAATTATTTTAAAAATTGAAAACCATGAACTAAAAAATTATTCTTTTGTATTATTTTTTAATTGAAAGTTGATACAATATACTTTGATCTTGGTTCCCCCTCCCTAACCTCCTTTCAGATCTCCCTCACATTTCCACTTATTCAACTCCATACCTTCTCTCTTTCTCTCTCTCTCTCTCTCTCTCTCTCTCTCTCTCTCTCTCTCTCTCTCTCTCTCTTTAGAAAACAGGCAAATAAAAAAGTAAACAAACCAGAATATTTTTAAAAAGCTAAAAAGCACAAGAAACACACACACACACACACACACACACACACACACACACACTCACACACACACACACTTAGAAACCATAATATGCAAGCAAAAGACCAGTGAGGAAAAAATATGAGACAAAAAAATCTACAAAACTCCATTGAGTTCATTTTGTATTGGCCATCTATTTCTAGGCATGGAGTCTCCCTTCAGTGTGGTTCAAATACTAGTGAGACTCCATTGGAGAAAACTGAGTTTTCCTTTGTAAGCAGTTGTCAATTGGCTATATCTGCTTGGTTAGATAAGGGAGATCATGTCTCCTTCTCCCTTTCAGCACTGGAACCCCATCTAACCTGAGCCTATGAAGGCCCTGTGCATGGTGCCACAGTCTCTGTGAATTCGTATGTGTATTAGTCTTGTGGAGTATAAAGATCCTTACTATTTTTTAAGATAATTGATTGTGTGAACAGTATTCCTAAATCAATAAATTTTGATATACACTGCATGGAACAATCATTGCACTTTCCTGATATCTTTCAAAAGTTTCTATAGACTTAGATACTCCATCTAATCATGAAATTCCTTTCATTATGTCTTCCCATTTCATTCACACAATATAGTGTAAATATCTTTTATGTTAGGTTAAAAAAAAAGGTTACCTTCTAATTCAACCAATCATGTGACAGAGTTCAAACACATAAATGACAATGGGTACTACTGTGAAAGACACATGTGAAGGGCAGCCCTTGGTTTTGCTGGGTTTTCTTCTGTGTAATATTTAATGATATGGAAATCATTGGGAATACTGGAGGAAAAACTTGGGTCAGTACGTAAAGGGTAGCTGAAGGTTCATCTATATCAGTTTCTGAACCTGAGAGCAAAATGCACTATGAAATAAGTCTCTCCCATTTGCCATTGATATGACACATTAGAATATTAGGCTGAAATTTTGGGATTTAAACGTGTAATTTGGTGACCCAGATACAGATATATTGCTAAGTATTGGATGGAGCTTGGCTACCCTTCAAAAACACTTTAAAGATTGAAAACATTTGTATATTTTATACATTTTATGATTATATATATAAAGCATAACTGAAAATGTTATGTATGATCTACTTGTAGAAGATTAAGATTCCAGAGTTAAATTAGATTGTATTACAATAATACTGTCTTTAACTTTTTATCATTATTATGAAAGAAAGAATAATGTTCTTGCTAGTATAAATTAGTCAACTTGAGTGTACATTTTGTTTTGCATTGCTAATTTCAAGAAACAATAAAGGAAAACAAGGAGCCCATTAAGGAATGTAGACTTTTGTACAGACAGCAGGATAAAAACAACACATCATTCCCCAGTCCTGTGCTTAGTTTTTCTAATATGTGGCAATCAATGAAAAACATTAATTAGCAGCTAACTTTTCTTTCTACTCCCCTAGAAACTTTCAAAGCATTGTAGTGTGCAAAATTCTCCAAATATCTCAAGACTCAGTCTCCATTTATTTGTAAAGTAATGGGTTTGTAATTCTCCAAATGGTTACTGTGAATATTTAACTCATTAATGCACTTAACATTTTTTCTAACACGTGGCAATCATCTATCAACATTAATTGGCAGCTAACTTTTTGTTGTTCTGCCCTAGAACATTTCACAGTATTATAGTGTGGTAATTCTTACTATGCTTTTAGTTTCTTCCCTATATTAATCAAGCTTGACAAGAAAGTGTGTGTGTGTGTGTGTGTGTGTGTGTGTGTGTGTGTGTGTGTGTGTGTGTGTTTATTTGGACACAGAAACATATCCAGAGATACAAAGAGAGGTGGGAAAGGAAGCAGAGTTTTGATGGATACCACATCAGAAACACTAGGATTTTTCTTTACTCCAAAGAGGTAACTTACTATTATAGGAGTTTATATGTTCTATATTAATACTTAAGTAGATATTTATATCTCTTAATTTGAGACCAGGATAGATCACCCATCATATATGACTCAAACCATTTATCTCAAAATTTTTGAAAATCTCTTTGCAGGTAATAAAGCTGTGAGCTAGAAAAAAAATAATTTTTTTCAACCAAATGATCCTAAAACTTCAACGTGAGAATTGTCTAATATGGTGGTGATTTGTTTGTCAGGTTGTGTAAGAGAACTGATGAAGTGTAACCTTGTGCACTTTACTGCATCATCTTCGAGATGGTCTGACAATTGTATCTGTCATATTTCCATAAACTCAATTCATATAAGGTTTGTCATAGTTCATAAAAGGCTTCAAAGAACTGCCACAGTGACAGAAAAGTGATTGTGGAACTATGGCTTACTTTTCAACTCTACACCAGTACATCTTAGCTCTAATGTCAAGAAACTGTCTATGTCCTCAGTTGTGCTGAAAGCCCCGGCAGTGCCGCCTCCAGGTATACCTGACTGTATCTTGTTCTGCTCAGGAAAATCTAAACAGAAAGAGCCACCGTTTCTTATTACGGGATAAAGCAATCAGTGTGTTCTTAAGTGTCAGTTTTCACAAAGTTGAGAATCTCTTTTTTTTCTGTTTTTCCTTTTTCCTTTCATTTTTCTTTATTAAGAAATTTTCTACCCACTCTACATACCACCCACAGATCCTCCCTCCTCCCTCTTCCAACCCTCAAGCCCTCACTCCCAAGCCACCCCAGATCTCTTGATGTGGAGTAAACAAATGGAAACTGGCTAGTTAAAGAATATTTGCCCATTAAGTCCATCTCAATAAAACAAAGCCCCCAACTCAACTCTAACCCAGGAAGTTTAATGCCTTTTAATGAAAGATGCATAAAATAGAAAATAGTTTCATTTTCCAAATATGCAAGCATACATTTTGCTATTTTTTCAGAACATTAGATAATAGTCCCAAATAAAATGAAGGGGGTATATTTGTGAGCTAAAAATAAAGAACTCAGAATAAGCAATTATTGAGACTTTTCTCTTTCTGGCCAGAAACAGCTGCAGGGTTAAAGGCTTTGCTAAGTCATTTAACATCTCTGAAAAATACTAAATCATCACAAGCAAATCTTCAATTAAAACAAGTCATTTTAAGTTGCCTGAGGGATAGATGCACAGAATACTGTGCTCATCTGTATTCATAAAATCAAGACTTTATTGGAAAGATCATCAGTCTTTGAAAAGGGATGTTTATGAATGGACCCAACTTACAGCTGTAACATATTAATAATAAGCATGAGACAGCTTTAAGTACATGTTGAAAATCTTTAAAATATTATTGGCGTTTGGAGTTTTAAAATGTTATGAGAAAATATTATGCCCAGATACAAAAATATAACATTCTTTTATGGATAAAAATTCATTTAGAAACACTTCATAAGGTATCATCTTGATGAAACAGTAATATTTAAGTATATCTGAAATAACTACAGATGGCCTGGGAGTTGTAAGTCAGGTAAGTAATTGTATGTGTATCCTGAACCATGCTCTTCTGAGAAAGTGTAAAGTCTCATTTGAGAATATATTACAAGATGTAGTAGGTAGCCATTCAAGCTTTGATCTGGAAGTTCTTTTTGTTTGTTTGTTTGTTTGTTTTTCGAGACAGGGTTTCTCTGCGTAGCTTTGTGCCTTTTCCTGGAACTCACTTGGTAGTCCAGGCTGGCCTCGAACTCACAGAGATCCGCCTGGCTCTGCCTCCCGAGGGCTGGGATTAAAGGCGTGTACTACCACTTCGGTAACTGTCACGCCTACAAGGCGGGGCCAAGAGAGGACCCTGAAGACCCGAGATCCGGATGTGCCAGCTCTCTTGGCCCCTGGACCCTGGATGCTGGAGGTAGACTGAGCAGAGTTCTCCAGAGAATACCGCCGGACTGTGCTACACCTTTCCCAGACCCTGTAGCCTATCCCTTCACTTGTAAGTTACCCCACACAATAAACCTCCCTTTTAACTACATGGAGTGGCCTTAATAACTTCACCAACAACAATATTTAACCTCTAAACATGAAAAGCCATAAGAAGCAGGGGAAAATGGTAAGAAAATGATACCACCAAGCATGTGTATGAGGGAAGCTGATTTGGTCCCACTGCTTTTTCAAGTAAACGGAAGAACTGGGGAGAAGTAATATCCTGCTGCTGCTCATCATCTGCCAGCCTGAACTAGAGACTAGGAGATAAAGATTCTCACTTTCTGGAAAGGGGTAGAACACAAATTAAAGCTATGAGATTTAAGTACAGATGAACATGATGTGCAGGATGTCTCTCCCTTAGACAGGAAACTACTGTAATATCATATTAAAGGCTGAGGTCCAATATGATTCTCTGTGCCAAGATATGAGAGATAGGAAGGAGAATATAGCTACTTTGAGGACAGACAAATTTATGAATATATCTTTATTTATTACTATTTGGAGAAACTTATTTTGTAACTGTATTGTTTTAAATAGGATTTACCAAAGAATAACTATCTGCTCATTCCTTGCTTCTTTTTTAAACAATATTTTTATTAAATTTTTGAGAATTTAATACAATTTTTTGGAATATACTCACACACACACCCCGCCCCCACCTCAACTACTTCCTCCAATCCTTTCTCACGCAACTTGGTAATTTCTTCTTCTTTCTCTTTTCCCATTGAGTTCAGTTTGCATTTCCCAATTAGTCTTAGTACTAACGCCAGCCTAGGTGTGTATTCTACCTACCAGGGATCATACTATTGAAGAAAACTGACTCTCCTCTCAGAAGCTATTACATGATAGTAACTCCTCAGCTAGTGGTGGGATTTTATGCCAAACTTCTTTCACCTATACACTAGGATTTTGTCTGGCTGGAACTTTCATAAGCGTTATGCCTGCTGCCATAAATGTTATGAATTCATATGTGCAATTGCTATTTTATGTCTAAAAAACACTTTTTCTTTAATATTATCCACCAGCTCTGGCTCTTTCCATCTTTATATCCCTTCTTCTGCAAAAAACTCTGAGACCTGGGGAGAGGTGTGTAATAGGTTTGTCTCATTTAAGGCTGAACATCTTACAGTTTCTTATCTGCTTGTTGACCAGCTGAGAGTTAGTGTGTTAATTGCTAACTACTGCAAGAAGATGGTTATCTGATGAGGATAAGAGATGCTTATATGAATGAGGATAGCAACAAGTCATTGGCTGTCATTTTAATACTATGTCTATTTAGCAGAATAATAGTATTTGGTTGTCCTTTAGGGTCTATGACCCATCTATGACTATAGGTTCTTGGCCCTTTTAATAGTACCATATATGAATTCCATCTCATGAAATGAGCTTCAGATACTGTAGCACAAATCCTAATTGGTCTCAATAATAAAAAACCTAGAGTCAGGCCGGGCAGTGGTGGCACATGCCTTTAATCCCAGCACTTGGGAGGCAGAGCCAGGTAGATCTCTATGAGTTCGAGGCCAGCTTGGTCTACAGAACGAGATCCAGGACAGGCACCAAAACTACATTGAGAAACCCTGTCTCGAAAAAACAAGAAAAAGAAACACACACACACACAAACAAACAAAAACAAAAACAACAACAAAAACAAAAAGCAAACAAAACAAAAAACCCTAGAGTTAGATATCAGGGCAACTGCTGAAAGATCAGAGAAGCAAAGCAGCCAGCCACTAGAGAGACTTCTTAGCTCTATGGAATACTAAGCCAGAAAGAGAGCTGAGCTCCTGTCTCCTGACATATTCCTCTCTCCACCCAGCCATATCACTTCCTGTCTCTACCTCCCTAGTGCTGGGATTAAAGGCATAAAATCCAAAGTGCTGGGATCAAATGTGTGTGTCACCACTGCCTGACTCTCTTTTTTCTTTTAGACAGGATCAATCTTGTATGGCCCAGGGTGGCCTTGAACTCCTGATCTTCCTGCTTCCTTCTCCCAAGTGCTGGGATTTAAGGTGTGTGCCACCACTGCCTGGCCTCTAGTGGCTAGCTCTGCACTCTGATCTTCAGGCAAGATTTATTTGTTAAAGCACAAACAAAATATCACCACTAGATACAATCTGAGTCTTGGTTAGTTACTTCCATGCCATTAGTGCCACTACTGCTACAGCAGATACATCTTGTCAGACCAGTCCTTGCTTTAGCTTGTAAGATTCACAGTTAGGTGAGATTGATGATTGAATTTTCCCTCTGGTAGTTTTCATAGCAGCATGTAGCATCATTAAATCTAGCCAGTAGAGATGAAGCTTCCAGGTAAGTATCAGCTTAATTTCTTCTTGTTTGTTTTTTTCAGTATTTATTGTCTTCAGCAAAAGGGTCTTATTGTCAAGTTCTGAAGGGTAACCATCTCTCATTGTTTGCTGTGCATCTATATTAATTATTTATTTCATTTTTATTTAATTTGGTAGGTCGTATATATCAGGAAATTCATCAATTCCTTTTAGACTTTTCCATTTTTGTGGAGTATAAGTTTCAAAACATGTCCTTATGATTCTTTAAACTTCCTCAGTATTTGTGTAATTTTTCACTTTTCATTGCGTACTGAATTAGTTTGGGCATTTTCTGTCTTTATTTGGCTACTTTGGCTAAAGGTCTGTCAATCTTGTTAATCTCTTCAGAGAAGCAACTATTTGTTTCATTGATTCTTTCTATGGTTGTTGTTTTTCACTACCATTTTGTTCATTTCAACCATGACTTTGATTTTCTTTCTGTGTGTTCTTTTTGAATGATATTTGTTTTTGTTTGTCTAAGGCCTTCAGGTACAGCATTAAGTTATTAATGTGTAATGTCTACATCTTTTTTGTTTTTGGTGTAGGCACTGGGTGCTATATACTTTGTTTTTAGGACCCACTTCATTGTGTCCCAGAACTTGTGGTATGGTATATTTTTATTTTTATTCAATTCTAGAAATTAAAAAAATTTTTTTGTACATTCTCCCTTGACCAAATTTCCATTCAGAACTGTGTTAGCATCTACATGTTTATACTTTCTGTTGTTCTGAATATTCCTTGTGCTCCCTTGGGTGTGTTTAATCTTGTTTTCAGACTGAAGTAGTCATTCTAGTGACTAGCATTATAGAATATACTAGAATATTATTATATTCTATAATATATTCTATAATATATAATATTATATATAATATTATAGAATATATTATAGAATATAATAATATTCTAGTATTCTCTGTAAAGCTTGTTTTCAATAATTCTGGTGAGACTCCACTCTGTGTGAGTGCCAGGTGGGGCAATGGATAGGGTGACTCATGAGCAAGTAGAAGAATATTGGGTCCAGGTCTCCTTCTTTCTTTTCTTTCTTTCTTTTTCTTCTCATATGTTAAAAAGGGCAGGAATCCAGGGGATATCAACCCAAACATAGTTGTAATACAACTAGGCATTGCCTTCATATTAAGGCTGGTTGAGATGATCCAGTCAGAGGAAAAGGATCCCAAAATCAGACAAAAGAGTCAGAGATAGCCTCCTGTTCCCACTTTCAGGAGTCCCACAAGCAGACCAAGATACACAGCTATAACATATATGCAGAGGGCCAAGGTCAGACCCATGCAGGCTCCCTGGTTGTCAGTTCAGGCTTCTCTGTGAGTGCATATGGGCTCAGGTAAATTGATTCTGTGGCTTTTCTTGTGGTGTCCTTGTCCCATCTAGCTCCTACAATCATTCCTTTCTGTATTCTGCAGGATTCCCGAGCTCTATCTGGCTGTGGGTCTCTGTACCTGCTTTTACCAGTTGCTGGATGAAGCCTCTCTAATAATGGTTATGCTAGGCTCCTGTGTACAAGTATAGCAGACCATCATTAGGAATTACTTCATTGACTATTTTTGCCAGTCAAGTTTGGTTCTATCCTAGGTGTCCGGGATATCCAGACTCTGATTCCTGGCCTTCCAGGCAGTATCAGGGGTAAGGTACCCCTTGTCCTTATTGTGGCACAGGTCTCAAGCTGTCTCAGTCACTGGTTGGCCACTTACCCAATTTCTGAGCCACCTTTATTATAGCACATCTTGAGGGTAGGACAAATTTTACGTTCAAGGTTTTGAGGCTGGGTTGGTATCACAATCCCTCCAATAGACATCTTGCCTGGTTATAGGAGATGGGTGGTAGTTCCAGCTTCATATCCCCCATAGTTGTGGTGATATTTTATTTGTACTGAAATGTTATTTTAATTTTATGTTAATAAATAAAGTTGCCCTGGGGTCAGAGCTATTGGAGCCATAGTGAGAGCGTGGTGGTTAGAAGAGCTAGGTAGATTTCTGTGTGTTCAGGGATACAGCCAGTATTGGAGACAAACGCCTTTAAGACCTGGAGGGCGGTACTTACAGGCAGTGATGAGGCAGTCATGTGGTTGGGTTTACAACCAATGAGAAGGCAGAACAGAAAGATTATTTAAACAGGGACACAGGAAGTACCTCCCTCTCTCGGGGAAGCTAGGAGCACTGCAGGAGGTAAGATTTTATCTCTGAGCTCTGACCCCTCGGCTTTTCTCTTTTACCTTGGCTCTGTGTTTCTTATTTTAATAATACGATTGGTTACATCTACACATAGTTTTGGCTAGGATCACCTTTGTAGATTCCTGGGAATTTCCACCACACCGGATTTCTACCTTATCCCCAAATGCCCTCCAATTCCAGTTGTCTCTCCCAGTACTCTCTCCCTCTATCTTCCTCCCACCTTATCCCCCCTGTTCCTGTCCCTAACTGCCACCAGCCCACCTATGATATCTATTCTATTTCCCCTTCCCAGGGAGATCCATGGGTCTCTCCTTGAGCCCTTCTTGTTACTTACCCTCTCTTGTCCTATGGACTCTACCATGATTATCCTATACTTTACAGCTAATATCCACCTATGAGTGAATACATACCATGTTTGTCTTTCTGAGTCTGGGTTACCTTACTCAGATGATTCTTCTTTACTATTTTCATCCATTTTTCTAGTGCTATCTATTTGCCTGTAAATTTCATGATGTTATGTTTTTAACAGCCAAATAATATTCCATTTTGTAAATATACCATATTTTCCTTAACTGTTCTTCAGCTTAGGGACATGTGAGCTGTTTCCAATTTCTGGCTATTATGAAGAAAGCTGCTATCAACATAGATGAGCAAGTGTCCTTGTAGTAGGATGGAGCACCCTTTTTCTATATACCCAGGAGTGGGATAGCTGGGTCTTTATGTAGATCAATTCCCAATTTTCTGAGAAACCACCATATTGATTTCCAAAGTGGCTGCACAAGTTTTCACTCCCACCAGCAATGGCGGAGTGTTCTCTTTGCTCCACAACCTTGTCAGCAAAAACTGTTAGTAGTTTTTTTTTTTTTAATCTTAGCCATTCTGACAGGTGTAAGATAAAATCTCAAAGCAGTCTTGATTTGCATTTTCATGATGGCTAAGGATGTTGAACATTTCTTCAAGTGCTTCTAGGCCATTTGAGATTCCTATGTTGAGAGTTCTCTGTTTAGATATGCACTCCATTTTTTAAATTGGATTATTGGGTTTTTTGATGTCTAGTGTCTTAAGTTCTTTCTATATTTGGGGAGTTAACCCTGTGTCAGATGTGGAGTTGGTGAAAATCCTTTCTCATTCTATAGGTACTTTTTTGTCCTATTGACAGTGCCCTATGGCTTACAGAAGCCTTTCAATTTCGTGAGGTCCCATTTATTGTCAATCTTACTGACTGCATTATCAGTGTTCTGTTCAGGCAGTTGTCTCCTGTGCCAATGCATTCAAGGCTATTCCTTACTTTCTCTTCTGTCAGGTTCAGTGTATCTGGTTTTAAGTTGAGGTCTTTGATCCACTTGGACTTGAATTTTGTGCAGGGTTGTAGATATGGATCTATTTGTATTCTTTACATGCTAATATCCAGTTAGTTGAGCACCATTTGTTGAATATACTTTCTTTTTCAATAGTCTGATTCTGGATTATTTATCAAAAAACAGGTGTTCATAGGTGTTAGGATTTATGTCTAGGTCTTTGCTTCCATTCCTTTGATCAACCTGTCTGTTTTTATGCCAGAACCATACAGTTTTTATTACTATAGCTCTGTAGCTAGAGCTTGAGATCATAGATAATGATATTCTTTTATTGTACAGTTCTTTTATTGTACAGGATTGTTTTGTCCTCAGTCTTTTGTTTTTCCATATGAAGTTGAGTATTGTTCTTTTTAGTTCTGTAAAGAATTGTGTTGGAATTATGATGGGGATTGAGTTTAGTGTGTAGATTGCTTTTGGTAAGATTGCTATTTTTACTATATTAATCCCATTGATCCATGTGCTTGGGAGATCTTTCCATCTGATATATTCTTTAATTTCTTTCTTCAAAGGCTTGAAGCTTTTGTCATATAGGTCTTTCACTTGCTTGGTTAGAGTTATACCAAGATATTTTGTATTATTTATGTTAATTGTAATGGGTATTATTTCCCTGATTTTTTTGTCAGACCATTTGTATATCGGAGGGCTATTGATATTTCTGAGTTAACCTTGTATCCAACCACTTCACTGAAGGTGTTTATCAGCTGTAGGAGGTCCCTGGTAGAATTTTTTGGGTTGCTCATGTATACTATAATATCATCTGAAAAAGTGATATATTTTTGACTTCCTCCTTTCCAGTTTTTATCCTCTTCACCCCCTTTAGATATCTTATTGCTCTACCTAGAACTTCAAGTGCTATATTGGATATATATATATATAGAGAGAGAGAGTGGACAGAATTTTCTTGTTCTTGATTTTAGTGGAATTGCTTTGACTCTTCATTTAATTTGATGTTGGCTACACTTGATGTAAATTGCCTTTATTGTGTTTAGCTATGTACCTTCTTGTTGTGGAATATTTCTTTACACGGTGTGAATATATGTTGCTGTGATTGGCTTAATAAAGAAGCTGATTGACCAATATCTGAACACAATAAGGTTAGGCAGGAGAGTCAGACTAAGAGAATGCTGGGAGGAATAAAGACAGAGATTGGAGTTGCCAGTCATACAGAGAGAGCAGGAGATAAATATACCATGCTAATAAAGGTGCTACATGACAGAGCATAATTAGAGAATATGTGTTTGCTTAAAATGTAAGAGCTAGTTAGTAATAAGCCTGAGTTATTGGCCAAGCATTTATAATTAATATAATCCTCAGTGTGTTTATTTGAGAGTGACTGAAGGACAAGAAAACTCTGTGTACTAATGGTGTCCAATGTCCAGGATCATGCACATCCTCACAAAGCCTGAGGAAGCTTTTTTTGTTAAGTAATTTTTTAAATTCATTTTTACATACCAATCACAGATCCCCCTCTCCTCCCTCCTCCCCTCTTGATTTCCTCTCCAAACCCACCCCCCCCATTTCTTCCTTCGACAAGGCAAAGTCTCCCATGGAAGTCCACAGACCCTGGACCTCCACATTCTGTAGAGGCAGGTCCCTCCCCCTGCATCAAGACTGTGCAAGGTGTCCCATCATAGGTAGTGGGCATAGGCACCAAAAAGGAAGCATTTAAAAAGTTTCTAAATATACAGAAACATAGCCAAAGGTGGCTTCCTAGTCTCATGTCTCTCATGCTGGCCACAGTGCATAGACACATGTGGAAGCTGCCAGCATGCCATGAGCTACACTGCATGGTGGGATCCTACAGTCTCTCACACCAGCTGCAATACAGAAAAGCATCTCCTGACAGCTGCCCCTAACGGCCAGGTACTACCACCATGTGCCAAGCTAAGCAATGCCAGTGGCTGACACAGCAGTTTAAGATTTGTCTCATGTGATCAAAAAATAATACAGGTATGCAGTCAAGATAGATTTAGATGGAAAAAACTCTAAACGGTTTACAGTGTGTTTAAAAATATACATAGGCCTGGGAGAAGTAGAAGAGAAAGAGTATACACAGTCTTAGATTTAAAAAAAAACATGATTTTAAAATAGTGAGACCCTTAAAAATGGAGGAAAGTAATATAAAAGAAGTAAGCCATATAAAGATGGAAAATAAACAGTGAGTCTGGATCCTGTATGTTATTGTGTTGTTTTTTGATTTTTTTAAACTGATAATGAGTGAGACCAATAACTGCTAAGAGACATTTGATTATAAATACTGCTAGATTCAGCCAACCTATATATTTTTAAAATGTTTTGATTTCAAAATTTAAGGCAAAAGGTATATTTCTTTGGTGGAGAGTTTATGCTTTTATTTTCTGAAATGAAAAGCTATGGATTCACTCCAGATTAAAGACAATCAGATTTGATCAGGGAAAGCCCCCTGAAATCCTGGCTACAGACACAAAAAGTAGGCCTACAAGAACCACAAAATACATGATGTATATTTTATCTGTTCAAATATAAAACAAAAAATCATCTTTAACTGACTTATATATACCATATATTCTACATTTGCAATGTATGTTACCTTCAAAGTTTCTATATTTTCAGAAAAAGGAAATCAAACATCAATGAAAATGTATAGCCCAGAAGAGAAAACATCTCAGAATGCTTCTGTTGTAGTTTGTGAGTTCTACATCCAAAACAGCTTCAAAATTGCTGCCTGAGATGATCCAGTCTCACAGAATACTCAAGCCAAGACTTAATAATTATCCTGATTTTCCAAAGATTCCCTCAAAGATGCCAGCATCCCCTGACAACAGGATGTAGTCTAGAGAAAACAATGCCCACATTCCCAAAAGATGGATTATGGGTGTTTGTCTTTGTTTAGGGAGGTTGGTTACAAATTATTATTGGTCATGATTGAAAAAAAAAAAAACTAACCAAGGTAGTTAGACTCAAAGATCTCTTTCTGAAAGAAAAGGAGAGGGAAATGAGAGGATAATGGAAGCTAGAAATTGGTCAAAGTATAATTATGTATGAAAGAAAATGTTATAGTGAAACTAGTTTTTATGCTTCATTAATATAGCTAATAGAAATCATTGATATGAAAATAAGCACAAGACTAAAGAAAAGTATAACAAGATACTAATAATGTGAAAAGGAGTTGTTTGTTACCTTAGTCTCTACTTTCTTTTTAGTAACTTAAGCAGAAAGGGACTTCCTATCATCCTGCATCTTTGTTAACATTTGGTATTGTTAGTATTTTGGATCTTAGTTCTTTTCAAGGGTGTGTAGTGGTGCATAGCTGTTGTTTTAATTTGCAAAACTCTAATTTAAGAAAAAGGCTGACTCTCTTTTTCATGGTTATTTGCCATCTGTATGTTTGCATTGATGAAGTCTACGTTTAGATTTCTGCCTACGTTCTAATTGTGTGGTTATCATATTGTTGAGATGTAAGCATCTGGGTAGTTGGTACCTTTCAAATATATGTTTTACAAACATTTTCTCCAGTCTGTATCTCTTCTTTTCATTGTCTTAACTTTTAAGAGTTTTTATTGATGAGCTTCCTTTTTATGGTGAAGAATTCCATTGTTTTCTCTCTTAGTTCAAATCATCTCATCCTAGTCATTCCAGACTTTGGGATTTATTTTAAAAGATGAGCATATTCATCTTTTAATCTGCCTTAGAGAAATGTATTTCATTAAAAATATAATATAAATTTAACATTTTTTACCTAAGTCAACTTTTTTCCCCTCTTTATTTCTGTTGCTAGATGTTTTCTTTAGAATAATAATTTTGAATTTCTTTACAATTGAACCATGATATCTTAATAGTTTGGACTTTTTATATAAATCTCATTGTATTTAAATAAATATTTTTAGACTATCATCTTCTTACTCTGTTTTATGGAGGACTCTTCCATACATATTGACAGTGATGAAGCCAGTCGTAAAGACTACTTATTATATGTCACCATATGTATCCAACAATAGGGCAATTTATAAAAGGCATTTAGTATACACTATATTTGTGAATTGTTGTGTGCTGTATAAGCCCACCTAGAAGCAAGCTCTAGAGGTGGGGTTGTCCTCACTGCTTCAGACCGAACTGTTAGCATTTAAGCATCTGTATTGGCCTGTCCCTAAGGGTCCTGAAAGGATATATCCTCAGCTGCAGCCACGAAGAGCACCCCCTGTGCGCATTCACTAAGTTTCCTTGTAAAAGGCAGCAGGCTTTGCCCACCTCCTGTCTCTTTCTCTTCCTTTGTTCTCCTCCCCAGGGACTGATCTCTGCCCCCTTCTCTCCCCTCCCCTTAATAAACCTCCCACATGGGCCCTGTAGTATGGTGTGACTCTGAGCCACTTTTAAAATACAACACCATGATTGTTTATTTTAGAGTGTTCGCCTAGTCCCATTGAACAGAACAAGCTACACACTCCATCCCAGACCCTGTGTGAGAGGGAAAGGAGAACAGCAAACCAGACCAAGATAGAAAATACCAGGTCCTGGAGAACAGAAGAGTAAATTATTTGAGTGGAAGCTCTGTGTTCATAAATACAGCCAGAAAGTTAGCACATTCTCTCTCTCTCTCTCTCTCTCTCTCTCTCTCTCTCTCTCTCTCTCTCTCTCTCTCTCTTGAGACAGGGTTTCTCTGTGTAGCTTTGTGCCTTTCCTGGAACTCACTTAGTAGCCCAGGCTGGCCTCAAACTCACATTCTCAAAGCAAGAATCAGCCAGTGTTTATCCCATGGTATGAAAATGCCTGTGACAAAAACTGCTGAAGTCTCACCCAGAAGATATTCTACCTGGAATCCTCTCTATTTCTCAGAGGTTCTAGCTGGCTCTTTGGTTTTCTTCGGGATGATCTATGCATCTGATCTAGTCCTTGCTCTTATTCTCTTATTCTTGCTTCTGTATACTTAATAAATGCATTCTTTCAACACTTAAATTGGGGCAACCATGAAGCATTCTCCAAATGAAACAAGACAAAACTTAAAGAGATAGTAGAAAAAAATGGTATGAAAGAATGAATTAAGAAGCTCAAAGGATGTTTGGGGCAGTGGATTTATTTTCTGTGATAGCTTGATGCTTAATATATGATATTATGGGTTCGTCAGATTTGAAAAAACAACAACTATACAACAACAAAAAGGTCAAACAATTGCAATTCCCAAAGAAAAACAGTATTGGAGTCTAGCTTAAGGGTAAAATGTGTGCTTGCAAGGCTCTTAATTGCATCCTCAGTGCTACAATCAGCCAATTAATTAATCAAGACTATAAAGGAACCTTGACAGTTTTTTTTAACTTTCTGAGCAATTTCTCTCTTATGAAATAACATATGGGCTAGCATATACATTAATAACACAGATATGTGAACAATATTTGACTTGTAGCCTGTGTGTTCCTTACATTGAGTTGGAATGGGTGCCCTACTTTCTCTCAACTGGTGCTTCATTGTGGGTATTTACACTATTCTATGTACTGCTATTTTAGCCTGAGTCACTCTTCCAAAATTGACTCATTAAAAACAGTCATTCTGTGAATCTTAATCAAGGATTCATAGTTTGTATTCATCTGGTTCACAACTCTGCAAATTGCCATTCTTTGTTGAATTATTTATATAAAAATGAATACATTTCAACTGTTGTTTAATTGGCAGTATCTAATAATATCTCCTATTTTTGAGTTGCCTTGTGGACATAAGAGCATGGTTCTGAAAATTCATTTGGAATTTTGGAAGGATGGCCTAG